ATCCACAAGGGCTGCGACTACCTGTGGTGGTGAAGACCTGGGGCAGACGTTGGCCAGGATGATCTCGGGACTTCAGGGAACCACAATGGCTTAACCAGCAACTAAAAATCTCCTAAAAATGGAGATTATGCTAGGACTCGGACAACTAATGAGGACGGGCCGTTCAAGTATTAAATATCAATGGAGCATTTAATTTCGAATGATTAATGAGTCTGGAGTTTCCATCAGGAATAGCAGGCAAGAGTAAACCAATACCAAGGTCCACCACCATCCTGGTATCAAACTAGTCACATGGTCGCAGGACCCCCTCTGATCCACAAGGGTGGCGACCGCCATAATGACGACGACCGGGGCAGACTTTGGCTAGGCTGACCTCGAGACTCCAGGAAACTACAGATGCTAGACCAGGAAGACTCCGAAAAAAAAAATAAAAAGCTTGCTGGCGTCCGTACAACTAGTGAAGATGGGTCATCCAAGTACTAAAGTATCCAAATAAACTTGGTCACCTAAGATCTGATTGGAAACCAAAGTCGGGCATCCTTTCACATAACGTCATTACAAGATTGCTGTCATGCTTCAATGTGGATCGTTAACAGTCATGTCACTTAAGAACGTTTGTATTCGTGTTGCGGGTTTCTTCAACAAACCGGACGGACCTTTCGGATGAATGTCACAAGTTATTGATTGAAAAGTAGACGTTGATTAGTCCTGCAGAAGTTAAACGAAAGGCGTTTTTTGAGATAGTCTTACACTCTGTGCTAGTTGATAACGATACTGAGTGCTGCAGGATCGACTGTTCGGAAAAAGACGGAAAGACGATGATCAACGACCATCAGTGCCAGCAACAGCCGTCGCTCACAAAAGAGCGTCGCCGAGCGAGCTTAGTTTATTCGACCGGTGTTCCATTTGATTCAACTCGATGCGATGACGAAGACCCACATGAATGAAGGAAGGAACGACTGTGGACTCGAGTCAGTCCGTGTCCAAGGAAGTGAAGGCGAAGGCGCCGAAACGTTAGCCGAATAAAGTTCTGTATTAATCTCATGTCAACTTATCAATGAAAATACACATCAATTAACCATGCCAAGGCTAAGTGAGGGTCCGTTTCTAAAGGACAAGCTACTGAATTTATATTCTGTTGCCAAACATGTGTTAAGATTGTATATGTGAAAGCGATACAAAGACTAAGATAGTGCGCTCGATGGTAACTTTTGCGCTCCAGGAAACAAAACCAAATCATTTTCTATTTCTAGTCATCATTCTTCCCTGTTCGTTTCCCCAGAACTGCTGTACTAGGCTGTAACTTTACTGGGTATTTTTACTTAGATTTCATGCAGAACGTTTCCAGATAGGGTAGTTCACTTACGTTCTGGTAGATTTCTAGTAGACAGATCACCTTAATCACCTGTAGTCCCGTTGATCGTAGAGTGACTCGAGTGCGCCAGGAAATCTTCCATTTCTCCCTGTCGCGTGCATAAGTATCCCAGTGGTTTCTACTCCCTCTAAGGACTAGTTGAGTATCATACCTCTTTCTAGGCTTCTTTGAGCATACTTATTTATCTTTTAGAAGATAAATACTACGTAGTAATTCTCATGACTGACTTTCTATTAACTTCGGCATTGATCATGTTGTTCTGTATAGTCTTGTTGAGCTAACCCCGAAGGTCACTTTATTCTTTATTTTGGTACAGCTGACATTTCGTCGGATTTCGCCTTCAGATCCTGGGGAGATCAAGGTGACTGCAATCAACCAAGCGAAATAGCCCCATAAGCAAAGTAGTTAGACCTTATGATCATCATTTACTCCCACATACTCTGTACAACTTTCGTTCCAGCGTTTGGCACGCCATCCTTTCCTTATCATTCTTATTCCTGGAACCTTCATTTCTGATGTCCTAGATTGGTAGTGTATTTTTCTTCTAATTTTGTTTATTTTCTGTTTTGAGTGATTGTTTCGATGGCTTCCATATGTCAGTTGCATAAGACATTATTGTCGGAATGGAGTAAGGAACAGAAAAATACGAATACTGTTTGCCAGATTTTAAAGCAAATAGGGGTATGTACATTCTTAGATTCCTTTTCTTTGACTGAATTTATAACTGCCTCCTTTATTCTTTTATCCTTGAAATTCTTATTTTAGGAAGAGTTGTTTGATCAGACAACAATCGAATCCCTGGATGCGAGGGCACTAACTACGATCTACAAGTTCGTTAGGGTTTTTTAATACTCAGTGTTTTTATTATTGGTAGACACTGCTCCACTTTTACGGTATATGCCTGGATATTACTTGGATGCCCCGTCTTCACTGGTCGTGCTGACCCCAGCATAATTTCCGCCTCTTCGGAGTTCTGCGTGTTTAGCCACTGTGGTTCCTTGGAGTCCCGACGTCAGCCAGGCAAAAGTCTGCCACAGGTCGTCACCACCACAAGCAGTCGCCGCCCTTGTGGATCAGAGCGAGATTTGCCACTATGCGGCCAGTTTGATGCTAGGACGGCGACGGATCCTGGTAGTGGTCTACTCTTAGCTAGGCTTTCCTGGTGGAAACGCCGGACTCCTCAGCCCGGGATACCTTGCCGGAGGGTGAATCCCCCGCTGTGCATCGCGGCCCCACATCCAGCTATCCCATCCACGATGAGGTGGTAAACCGTTGAGGGGTTTTACGGTGAAAATGAAATGGCGAAAATCGAAGACCGCTATTGTTTCCACTTTCTTATTCAGATTATTACTACCTACCACAACTTCCTTCTCCATTTTCATTTCCGTTGTTCAAATACAATTTGTGTTTCACCGATACTGCCATTTCATATCATATACCAATTACTATTCATTTGCTTTTTTCTCTTGGATATTGTTTCACTGCATCTTTCATACGTCCTTATTAGGTCCGATGGCTTATTTTAAGGAGGCGTTAAATAAACCCTATTGCTTACCTGGGATAGTACAAATATATATAAATGCAAGGTTTTTAATCCGTAAAACCACACACAAACACACTTTATGACACATCCTTTACGTAGAAATCACCATTTTCGTTCACTCGACGGTAGAGACAAAGCTTTCGTATTCGTTGTGCTTTTTGACCGATTGATACATCACAGGTCGAGTGGTAGAAAAGTTTATTCGTCCTTTTTTCTGAAACGTACAACTCATAAGCAATTTCGGTTTCGTAATTATGCAGTCTGAAACTTTCTTTTTTTAACATTCAAGGATGTGTTCTTTTACCTCAGCACTGCTTTCACGGAATAGTTTTAAGAACATAAAATCTTTAGCAAGTTCTATGTCTAAAGTTCATAAAGTATTCTTGAAGAGAAAACCATAATATAAGTTACTCGATGTTGTTATCATAAAGAGTTTGCCTGTGTTAAGATGATCTTAGGGCGCGTGTAACACAGTGGTCAGAGGCGCCATGCAATGCACATAGGATCGATCCCCGCGCTCCAGGCTCACTAAACCCTCCATCTTTCCGGGGTCGGCAAATCGGTGCCAGACTTGTCTAGAAGTATAGCAGCACTGGCTAGACACATCGGTGAGCACCGCGAGTCATTGTGAAGGTCAGACATGCATTCAATCGCCTCCAACGATGTTTAATGAAGTGGTATCCATGGCGCATCCCTCAGAGATCGACTACTGCCGAAAGCTTAACCTTTTCCTTTAAGGTGATCCTAACCAATATTCTTCCTTATTTTATTCTAGTTACGTTTTTTAACGTTTTGGTGAAGTCTGGTAATGATCTTACCGCTGTAGGTGATCTTTATTCTATCACATAACATTTTTCACGGGTTTTCTTGACATGTAATACGACGGGAAAGATATCACTATTAGAGCTATTGAGAGTAACTTTGAAATCCATTGATAAATGTTTCAACGGCTGGTGCTTTTCAAAACTTCCCCATTGCTTGTACATTTCTTCCCAATATTATTACCAACCTTATTTTCTGAGTGCACCGAAGATCCCCCTTATGGAGAGCATTAACTCGCCGCACTTACACAATTTAGCTCCATAACTGGTGAAGACGCTCGAACCAGGAGTAGAATAGGGACTATTTTCCATGTTTTTCTTTCAATTATTGGTGTCGTTTCTGCAAAACTAGAGTCTGTTATTGAAGAGCAGGAGAATACTTCATTGTTTTGCCACTGTTCTACTTTACTGGATGCGGGGCTTGATTGTTCCGTCGACTTTTTTTTCCATATTTTGCTCTCTTCTTTATTTTCATTTGTATCCACACTAACGGAGATATCGAAGTAATCCTTTCCATGGTCGCCTATGAAGTATGATGAAGGGTAGAGCGTACGGCAGTGGTCAATCCCTAAAGGATGCGTCGTGCATTCGAGTTCGTTAAATGTCAGAGAGGTTGAAAGTTCATCTGTATAGTGGTTTTTGGGGTTTATCGATGTATTAAGTCAGGATTTGTATCCTATCAGACAAGTATTGTGACGATTTGCTGGACGCAGGTAGATTAGACGGGTTTACCTGACCGGTGATTGGATTACTACTGGGAGGCACGCGATGCATGCCGCTTACTGCTTGGGACTTTAGCTGTGCTAATAAGAAAGCTTACGGGAGTTTCTACATTAGTTCTTTCTCCTCGGTGTCGGGAAAAACCAAGAACGAGAACTCTATATTATCGTCTGAAGTATAATTAGATACATTCCAATACAGTTGTAGTAGAATTTAACTATCTGGTTTCTTTAGGGAGCGTATTTGTTTTAAAAAAAAACTCACTTCCTAAACATCTTTACAGGTGTACGAGTGATCTTTCTTATCACCATATTTTTTCATGTTATTTTTGTTGAGTTATCCGTCCTTGTGTTTGAGTAAAACTTAAAAGCTTACTAAAATCCTTGTCGAACCCATTATTTTTTTTTGTTAAGCAAATAACCTGCTTAGTTTAATTACCCTACTATGAATATAGATATTACCTATTCGCTCCCGGTACTACTTAACGTTTTCTAGAGATTATTACGAAATTAGTGCCCTAGTTGCTGCATTGAGGAACGATATGTCAACGTTTGATGACACAATACCTCGAGTAAGTTTTCGTCTTTCTCTTTTGATTTTGTAAATGATAACTCCATCCATGCAATCTGATTTCCATTTTTGATGGGGTTATTTCAAGGTTTTGTCGTTTTACGACCAATGTCCTACCGCCGCAGAGAACAAATATCTTATGGTTGGACTGAACTTGATGTTTCTCTTGGCAAGTAATCGTCTTTCCGAGTTTCATATGGTTAGCTTTTGCTTTTGTACTTGTCAGTTTTTCTATTTCCCCGTGTTTCTAGTATACTAAGGCATTTCTTCTTTACTATTATTCATATTTCACATTACAAATTCATAGTGTTTCGTTCATTTTTCTGCTACAGTTGTTGGAATCGGTGCCTCAGAGTATTCAGTCAACCAACCCTTACATTTCCACACCTGTCCGTCTTGAACAGTCTTTAATGGAAGGAGCGTACAATAAGGTATGTGGAAGAAAGGTTTTTTTGTTGTTTTTCACTGCGAAAATTTATTCCATCCCTTTTTTCTTGCATTATGTGCAATTCTATGTAGTTGCTTTTTAGGTTGTCCTTACAGAAAAAACTATTCCTAGTCACTTCTACAGCATTTTCATCCGTATTATGATGGACACGGTTAGGTTTGTTTTCAAAACTGGTTTTTAGTTTTCGAAGTTTTTCGCATCGTTTTTATGCTGATGGCAGTGCCAGGTAGAAAACTAGCTGAGAGAAACGCAAAGCAAAATCCTCAGTGGTGTAGTGTGTAATATACGAGTCCCCGGAAGAGGTAATAGTGGTTTGATCTGACTCGGGATCTAAGTTTTGTGAATATATCAGCATCACTGTGGTTTTATTCCATATAATACTCTGCCGTGAAAAATTATCGTAGGCGGCCAATAAAAGGTTAACATTATTCGTTTTTTGCTTTTTTTCTTGTATTTGTACATTCATCGACCTCACTCTTGTTACTGATTCGCTGCAGTTAGTTGCGATGCTGCTCGTTCGTTTGAAGTAGCTGACGTAGGGTTCAACACGAGCAAAAAGCGGATATTTTAGGTTGGTAAGTATGATAATTCCGATAGTGCAAGAATTGTTTTACATTTGGTGATTGCATTGCTTTATGGTATGAAGAAATCTACGGAGTTTCCGAGAATTCATGCGTATTAGAATCTTTTGCATCACATGTAATCCGGCTATCACATTGTGTTGCTCCAGTGTGCACCGGTAGTCTCTGCATGTGATGTGATGTCCTTTATTCTCTATTGTTTTCGGCGGTTTTCCAACTAAACGTTGTTCACCGAGCAGCTCCATGGCATAAATTTATTCTGAGCGGGGCATCTGAATGGAAACGTCATGCAGTATGAGTGGAATGTATATATGACGAACTGTGCTGCTACCTTGATGACGAGTCTGTTTGAATGATAAAAGTGCTGCCAATGGTTTCGTGTGTGGCCACCATTTTGATTTCTGCTAGATAGAAAATAATCGTCAACTGGTTTATAAGGGAATTGTTCTGGTATTATATTTGTAGACCAGGAAGCAAACTCTATAGCAAGTCATTAATGCAGTGTTTTCGGCCAGTACGATTTGCAAACAAAAATTTCACAAGCACCGACAGATAATCTTATCGCATGACGTCGTCGACAAGAGTTTTATCTGCATAGTAGTGCGGCCGGCAATGCGAATTTTTACTGTGGAGTTGTACTTGAATACTTGAGTGACCTCTCTTCATTATTGGTATAAGTCTCAGGACGTTTTCCAATCGTTTCTTTCTCGCGCAGTCGTCGTCCATGTTGGTGGTTTGCTTCGAACATGGTGACATTCGGGAGTTACATTCCGTAATCTTGAGGTCATTTACATCTGCAAATGCAGATGGTTTACGTTAGCCAAAAACACGTCCGCCCATCGTTCCGGTGGTCGTCCTAGAGGACACTTGCATTCTTATGGAGTCCACTGCACTGTTCTTTTCGGATTGCTCTTTTTATTATATTACCATCCCATCTTTGCTTCGCTATCGATGTATACTCTCTCGGATCTCGAAAATCGGTTAGTTTCTGAAGATCTGAGCAGTGCATTCCAGCTGTACGTTGCGAATGCCGGTTAAGTTTTGTGCGAAGTTGTTAACGTGGTTGAGGTACACCCAGGTTTTGCTGAATAACGGTGCACTATGAGGATCACTGGGTCGAAAAGGTGAGGATGGAGTTTTGGTTCCTTGTGGCGGTCGGACGCTTCGCTGAGAGGCCCATATGCGACATATGTTGCCTTCCTTCTTTTAGCTAGTTTGTTCATGTTGTTCTGTATGTTCACTGAACGTCGAAAGCACACGTACATGGAGTTGCAGTTATTCACAATGGTGGATTCCTGTGCATGAAACAGATTTCTAGATTTTCGAATAACTTGTGGTACTTCTGATGGAGTTTCACTCCTAGCTATATTTTACGCAATGGCAAGAGAAAAAATGTGGAGATATGGACGTCAAATCACCATTTAACTTCTACAAGACGATACCCTGCCATGAGAAAAAAGAATAGGCAGTGCATAAAAACTGATTACAGTGTGAAGTTCAAAGCATCTATTTTCCACTATATCTTGTCGAAATAGTACTAAAGTTCCGTGGCGAATTGTGGTAGGTCAAAGATCGATTGTTGCTCAACACCTAAGTGCTTAATGAACTATTTTCAGAAGTGACATTGCCGTATCAATTGAGAAGTCATTCAAGTTGTTAAGTACGCGCGATGCGGCGAACATGTTATTATTTGAGAATGACGCACAAGTACAGGAATTCGCTAAGCAGGTTCTTCATCTGCATATTATTTAATTGTCGGATTTAGCCAAAGCACTCACAGTTGTGCATTTTCAGCGGAAATGGGTAAATGAGCACGGATGCTTTGTATTCGAAACCAGTGCCACTCACCACGATAAGCCTACATTAGATACGGCTCGTATTGCTAAGCAGACAATCTTCTACGCAAAGCAACTGGAGATGATCGTCTAGTAGCCTACGTTTTGTCCATTTCTGCGAACATGAATGTATTTGTCGCTTAAATCATACCTGTAAAAGTCGTGTAATTTTGCAAATAGACTTCTAATTTGTAGATGTTTCTTACAGATAACAAGTGAACTCACGGAGAAATCGAAATCTTGAGGTGTGATTTTGCACGTACCTAATCCTGTTATTGTAAGAGGCTTAAGGTCAGTATAAGTAAATGTTGAGAAAGCTACCGTATTGTGGTCATCTTTTTAAGGAAAAAGGGAATTGTAAAGAAAGCACTTTGATAGTTTGGCCTGGAATGATATTCACATAATTTCGAGACGTTCAATAAAAGGATGACTAAAAGCGCGAGAAATGCGTTCGAACTTTTCCTTGTCGGATGAGAAAACCCTGGAAGTGTTCACGTCACTGCTGCTTTTGGCTACCTTACGTTCAGAGTAAGCTATTACCCAGAAATGACATCAAACCGGGTATTGCAGAGCAAATCTTGATCTGGCAAATTTTCAAGTGAAGAGGAAAACCTAAGCATTTGTTGGCAAAAGGTTTTCAATCACCTTGGCGTGGTCCAAGCTATTTTATCTTATTGAGTTGGATTGAACGCATCTCATTTCATTGTACCATGTCAAACACGTCAACGCTTTCTCTATAGTCTTCTTCGTAATTGGAAACTACCGAGTAAAATTCATGGTGATTGCAAAAGAATAAACATCGTAGAACATAGTCATATCCAATTCAATACGAGATTTCATGGATGTTTCGTGGATGGGTTGGTGGATATTTTCAGTGAAATGTGGAAACTAGGTACTTAAAACTTAAAACTTCGAATACTTTTCTGAAATCACTAGCCGACAATTTCGCAGAAAGCGCTTCAGACTTTGATTTCTGATTGCGCACCGCGCGATTGGAAGGGGAATATTTGTCTGCTTTGAAAATAACCGAGTCATTGGGTCGTGAAGCTGAAGGTTTATATGTTCAAGCATCAATGCTTTGATTTTCTTTGAATAACATCTTATGCTGATCTGTTTATGTCATATACCATTTCTAGTTCAGATTTCGACCTCAATTAGAATGTAAATTCTTCCGTACCTCTGTTAATTTGGGTTAAATATGGACCATTAGGTAAAAAGGAGGAAAGCTTAAAAAGCTTCATTTCATGGATTTAAGATAACAAGAGGTTAAAAGCGCGAAGAATAGATCAAGCCTTTTACAGCCATGAGAAGTCTAAGGTTGCAACGCTTTAGTAAAAACGTTCTTATTGTAGTGGTTCTTTCTTTAGACTAAAACCAGCGGTTTTCAAGCAATGTATGTTATTTCAGACGCGGGGTAAAGATTTGACATCCTATCACTTGTATCACCCGTCCACCTGTTGGTCGTGGAGTCACTCGAGCAGGAGCATGTAGTCTGGATTTGTTTATGTCGTGTTTTGGATTGGTCCAATGGGTCCTGCTTGCTTGAAGAACGCGCTGAACACCAGAACATTCTTCTAGAATCTTCATAAAAAGTGTAGGTCGTCTGTGAGTGGCCTTAGTGCTCTGCTCTTGATACCTGCGATCAACTCGTCAATAGGTCTTATTCATCCATTGTCTTTTAGATGCACTCTGTGTCCGGCTCACCTGATTTCGATATTTTGGAGTGCATAACAACGTGGTTGATCTTTTATCGTAAGTGGATCCCCTCTCTTACCTCTGTGATACGGGATACCCGACTGCACTTTCGATAACGCTGACAGATCATTCATCCTGCTTATGTAGCGACCAGATTTCCGACGTTGTGGATATCGTCGTTTTGAGATTTCGTTAGAGACCAATAATTCCGCAGACAAGAGTAAAATCAGCCAACATTCGTTCCGGCTGGCTAATATGTGATGTTGTAAAAACGACACATCGTTCTTGCACAGTATACGATATCTCATAAGGCTCAACTCACGTCGTCCTTGTATCAAAATAGTCACAATGTGGCAAATCTCCCTCTGATCAATAAGGGCCGAGTGACTGCCTGTGATGAAGACCTGTATAAGCTCCAGCTAGGCTGACATCACAACTTCAGAGAACCACAAATAAGTCCTGTGCCAATAAAGCAACCTCACTAGTCCGCACGTTGGGCGCCACTATCTGCGAGTGCGGCTGTGACACGACTTGTGAGAGACGATGAAATCTCGGGTTGCAAAGGACGTCATGCGAAATGGACAAAACAAGCACGCGTGCGATACGACACGGGAACTGCTTTCTGCTTTTCAACTATAAATCAGAACAAGCACCGGTCTTCACGCCCTTCATGAGGCCACTGGTCGCACAAAACTCCATGTGATCGCTCTATAAGAGACAAAAAGCAGAACGGACATGCCAATTAGATGACGTAACCTTTATCGCTCGTGGATGGGAATTTCCGTTACGAATTGTCGGAGGCATTGTTCTTGTCTTTTCTGTCCTGTCTCACACTCGCCTTTTTCGCATCAGGTCACCTCATACGAAGTCCCATCACGACGCCTAGACATTTTTCATCTCCAGCTTCCCTTTCAGAAGAAAGTTCATGAGAGCGAACCGGATACGTTCTACGGCCAAGTGGAGTAAGTAATCCACAATGGGAAGTCCTATAAATCCATTGTCAGAGACCTCTATACAAAATTATGAACGGCCAACGAAAATGAGTACAGGATAGGAAAATTTGAAGTTAGAGATCGAAATGAGAATAGAATCCGTCTTGTAGCACTTGTGGCACTGATGTGCCCAACACATCTCTTCGATGAGAATTCATTTTCGGAAAGAGAGAAAATCGCCGATTGACGTGAGAGTCTCCAACGACATGCCTCACAGCGAGATCGATCACATTCTCACGCACAGAAAATAGTGCCTTTTTGACACCTCCGTGGTGTCATCATTCTGTACTCGATCCGATCATCGCCTTCTCCGTACGAGGATTCGATTGACTGGTAATTTGGAAAGGGTCTTTTGTCACCCTTGAAGAACAAGATAAATGGTGTATGATGAGAACAAATGCTCTCAGTGAAGCCATCTGGTCATTAGACTGGCAAATAAAAGAATCTCCGACTAGTGAGTGTGGTTTCGCCTTAGTTCCCCAAAAAAGATGATCAGACCGCATCCCCAAATTCGGTTGAAATTCAAATTGCGATAGAAAGCATGAAGAGAACCACAGCTTTACGACCCGATAATATCTTCATTCGAGCTGAAAGCCACGTAGTATGCATACTCTCCGGTTCATACATCTTACCTTCAACAGGAGAAAATACGAGACAAGCTGAGGACGTCACGCACGATTATTTTACCCAAAAAGGGTGAGTGAAAGGATCTCCATAACTAGCATCCGATATGCGTGTTGAGTGCATCCTATAAGCTTCTCACGAAGATTATCCTACTACGTATAAAAGACTATGAATGATCCGCAATCATTTAAGCGAGCAGGATTCCAATCTTTTGGACCACATCCAAACCGCGTGCTGGGTTATTGACGTTTTTTGGGAATGGGAATACCAGTTGCCCTTAGTATTAAGTTTTGTCGACTATGAAAAAGCGTCTAACAATTTCGAAACGAATGCAATCCTATCAATGCTCAACGAGCAAGGATTAGACTTGCCCTAAATAAGGACTCTATCTAACTGCTATCGTGTTGCAGCACAAAATACGGCTTTTCCATCGAGCTTTCACCTTTCCCATAGGAAAACATTCTATGAAACAAGATTGCCGTGCTAAAGCTGTTTACAGTCTCAATGCAGTGGATAGTGAAGTCGCTCGACTAGGACGAGAAGAGCATATGCATTAGTGAAAAATTCCTGTCAAACTTTATGACACGGTCGATTTTTCGAGGTGTAAAATCGAAATAGAAATATTTTTCAAATAACAGCGAAGTGGTAAGAAAGAAGGGTAACGCATAAATCGGAAGAAAATCCAGCTCCTGAGGCACTCATGGTGCGAAGGCGAAAAAATCAAACTGAATGGTATTGTGATTACGAAGACCACCTCGTACTTGTACCTTGAATGTTCAGTAAACATGAAGACCAACATGAAGGAAGTATTAGATAGCAAAAGGAGAGTAGCATGGGCCATATTCTGGCCTCTCAGAAAAGTAGACGACCAACAAACGAACTCAAAGCTCCGCGCTCACCTTTTCGATTCAACAGTCTTGTCAACGCTGATATTCAGCAGAGACATGTGCTGATAGGGCTGATATTTTAATCACGTGGAGAAGTCTACGCACCACCCACAGAGCACAGGAACGATGTCTTCTGAAATTTAACGGGCACTCACAACGTATAGCCGTAATGAGCAGCTCAGATATTTAAAACTAATCGCATCAGGAAAATGCGCTTTGATAGCGAAGCACAGATTGGTCGGTCATATAATGAGAACACGTTAGGACCACCACGTGCACGTTGTGCTTGCGAACCAGACCAATACCATGGACAACGGTAGCAAGAAAAAGAAAGGAATGGAAACTTTGCTGCGGCCCACACTACCAGTGAAGATAGCCCATCCAAGTGCCAAAGTATAAAGCTCAATAACCTAAGCATGCTCATTTGTGGCTCGTATCTCTCCGCTACATGGGATATGTCACTTACCTTAGCATCTAGCCGGCTTATATACTTTACATAAGAAATATTCGTGGTTTAGAAGTCCAAAGAGGAAATAACACGCCTTTCCCACTCTGTGAAAATGTCATATTAAGAGGGACGTCGAGTAACTACAGGAAATATACGTGGATCCAAGGGTGCTAACAGACTGTGATACAAAACATCACCTAGTTAGACTCCCATCGACCTCCGCCTCCAATTAGGTCAGATATTTCTTGCTGAGAATAAAATGCAATAGCCACGTTTTTATGGTAGACAAAGACTATTCGGTTCGCACCGTGATGAGGCAGAAACATTTGCTTCATTGCCAAAACATGTCGATTTCGATGGTTTCTAATTCGATTAGAAAATTCGCGTACGAGAGTGAGACATGGGTGGTGCTCCACTTTCTAGCTTATCGATAAACTAGCACGAATTCCTTACTAAACATCAATGTGGCTCGTCCCAGCACCATCGCTTTCTTCAGAGCCTCCATTAACTCCAATCGATTGACAACACTAGTTCTTTCCTGCGTTGTGGGTCTTCGTGGACGCATTGAGTCGATTCGAGTAGTGAGCCGAACGAAAGAAGTGACCTAACGAAGTTGTACCCTTCCTCAACTAGTTCTTGCCACTAGGACTAGATAATTGCACAACTCTGCAGTCCATTTTCTCATCGTACGAGCGTTTCCTAATGAAATACTGTCCAAAACTATCTGTCCTTTTAGTGACAACTCATACTGCAGAAGAACAATACTACCTGGCATACATCAATGTGAAGCGCGTACAGCACACTGTCCAGAGGTGTCTTGCAAAATACACGTGGTTACTAGTTCGATCCTACACCTAGGCTCCACCACGCCTTCCATCCCTTCGGGCCGGAAGATTTGCACAAACATGGCCTGAATGCACAAGTCACTGCACAGGTTAGATATGAACTTAATCACACATAACTACCTTCCACGAAGTCGAATAAATAGCGCTCTTGAATGAATGATCAACGCCCAGAACTTTAGTTTCCGTAGCAAAGAAACATTCTTAATGTTATGAAAAGTGTTTCATGTGCTAGGAAATGTGGCCAGCTCAGCATAAGTAGTTTTTAAGGCCCAATACTTGCTTCTTATCACACACCCTGTGCACGTGTAAACTCAGTGGGTGGGGGTGCCTTGCAAGATCGATGCTGAATACCCTACTCATCCTCTTGATCACCCACTCTCCACCGATGGAACCAAAAAACTATGCCAGAAGTGCTCACACAACCTTAAAACTCCTCATGCTTGAAATCTTCATTGAATCTCTAAAACTGAAAAACGTGAGCAAATTGATCGCAAATTGCGATAGAGTGCCCATTGCCGCGAAACCACAAACAATCAGACCAGAGAGGCGGACTTAATGTGAGATCAAACTCTTAAATATAAAAATCTACTAATTCATCACCGTTGGCAACAATGGGCAATCCAAGTGAATAAATATTACTCAGGATCACAGAAACAAGGCAACAGCGCTTACACAATTCCGCAAAGCATCGACAAACCACGTGGAATAGAAGAAAAGTGAGCAAATATCGAGCTTACGCTCGTAGCCTTTACATTTATACATTTGAAATCAACAAGAAGTTAAAAATATTAACTGCAAATGAAAAAACTTTCACAATGGTTCAAAATGTCATAGAAAAAATATCCCGTTGTTTGGAAAGATAGCATAAATAATTGCTTAATAGATCATGTACCACGTGGAGCACCGTAGATGAAATTTTCCTCTGCGTAATACTGCGCAGGATTCGGATACCTGAACGAAAGAATCAAAACGAACGCGCTGGTATTATTGGCCCC